AATCAATATCTCGCTAATAAAGTATTAAAAAAAACGAATCAAAATTACCCCTCCCCTTGGCTAGTTTTTGCACCTTGTTGCTGGTGGGCGGGCTTAATTTTATCTTTATAGTGGAGTGTTGGAGACGGTAGGTTTATGGCCGGCATTGCTGGCTCATGGCACGATAGAATGGCGCCATGGGCAGGCGATGGGGATTACTAAGCTTCCCCTCTCTGATGAACCACTGCATGAGAGAACCAAAGATCTAGTCTAGCAGTGAAAGTATCACACTTGTTAATCCTTTGTTTGAGAGCCGCGTTGTAGTATGCTTGCGTATAGGCACTGACGTAGGGTGCTATACTGGCGAGTTTTGCCGCAAATCACTCTTATTTTATTTATTTTTACGCAGATATATTTATTTGGGATTGCAAGGAAATTATACCATAGAGGTAACTCTAAGACCAGAAGGTCCCGAAGAAACGAGCTCAACTTTTTGGCTCAGCTCTGGTACTATCTTCGGTCCCAAGCTAATCTATTCACCCCTCGAAACATAGGAAAATCCACTAACCCCTCATTTTATCTGGCAAACTTTCATAGCGAATCAAAACAAACATAGTGTAGTACTGGAATTTATGCTAGAATGGGGTACGGTAGTCGATTTGCTTGGGACCAATAGGCTAGTCAAGTAGTGAGCCAATTTAAAATCGATACTTTCGTATTGATTGTTGATTATACTATTGAAATATTTCAGAAAGAAACTGTACTCCTTCTATTTGTGTGACAAGCTTTCATTGTTGTTTTCATTGAAGTATTACTCTGGGAACAATGTTAAACACCATTTTTGTACATGGTATTGTAACTAATCTTATGTGTGCTTAATTTTGATTTGGGATAAGTACTTGAACTATGGCTCGGGATTTCCACTGTGGCGTGCTTCTATTGTGACATACTCATACGTATTTTTGTGCTGCAATATAGTGGAAGCGTGTGAGCGTAGTTGGAGCATAAACCCTATATAATTTAAAATAAGCTAGGAAACTAACTTCAAAGTGAAGCATTTTAGTCACATGAAGGGTCGAACTAAGATATAATAAATAGGTATAGGTCAAAATCGAAAGTACTTGAAACACGTTCAACTTAAGATAACAAGTGCAGATACTTAATAAAGCATGGGTTATTATGGTTTAGGTGAATTAGAGATTTCAATTATTTAGTAAATTAGGCTAATGCGATATCATAATCATCAAACGAACTTAAATAACAGACCAATAGCATTAAGCAGATTAACAAGGAGAGGAATAGTTTAGGAAATAAGCCAAATTAGAGGTATGTGTCAATTAATAACTTTTAATCTTTTGTAGGTATAGTTTTCCCCAGAGTATATTGTATTGTATTGTACTATATTATTCTCTGAATACGCGAAATCTCTGATATATGCGGTTAAAGCATCTGAGTTAACTTATTTCTTAGTGTTCAAGTACTTACATTTGTAAACAGCAGTCAATGTTAATCTATGAACGTAACCCTACGTGACTGTAAAATCGATATTTTCTTATGTCGTATTGACGCATTGATGCATGTTTAACTTTTCGCGGTTGTCGGATTCAACGCGCCTACGTCTACGGAGCTTAAGCAGAAGTGTTTCGCAATTGATCAATTTAGATGGTCAAGTTTTAAACCCACCACAGCATGCTTTTGGCGCTACTGTATATGGACGATCAAATGTAAAATACTGTGGTAGCCACAGCATACTTCTGTCAAAACCTAAGCATTTTCATTGATCCATTCGGTAGAGCTTATCAAAAGTTTTTTTTTTTGAGCTTATGTAGTTTAGAATTTGTTCGGTACGGTCGCGAAATTTTGAAATGATTGATACGTGCGGTAAAATAACTAAATTGAAACAAAGCTCAATAGTAAATAAGTAGAATATCTAGGGAGAAAACCAAAATTAATCAACTTGCCAACATAGGCTATCACATTCATTTTGGTAGCACTCTTTAAATGATAATAAACCTTTTTTTTTCTCGATTCGGTTGTCTCGTGCGGCGTTCGCAATTTGCGCGATTTTCGTATCTTACGTAATTTAGATGTTTAGCTCTAAACGGCTTTACTGACTCGAGGTCGTTCCTTAAGCGGTTTTAGTGTAAGTTAAACCTTTGGTGGCTGTCGGAATCAACGCGCTTACGTCTACGGAGCTTACGCAGATGTGATACGCAATTCGATAGAACTTGTCAAACGCTTTTGAGCTTATGTAGTATAGAACTTGTTCGGTACGGTCGCGAAACCTTGAAATGATGGATACATTCTTTAAATTACCTAATTTGATACAAAGCTCAGTAGTAAATAAGTAGAATATCTAGGGCGGAAACCAAAATAGATCAACTTGCCAACATAGGCTATCACATTTATTTTGATAGCACTCTTTAAATGATAATAAGCCTTTTTTTTCTCGCAACAGCTTCCGGAATTCGCGCGGTTTTCGTAACTTACATAATTTAGATATTTCGTTCGAAACGGATTTACTTATTCAATCGGTTTACTACGCGGATGCATCTACGCGCACACGTCACAGCATTTTTTCCATAACTATCTTGAAACAATACATATGGAATCCAGTGTTCAAGCTGCCAACATAGGCTAGTCCTTCTGCTGTATTGTCAAAGATAGAAGCAAAATTTATTCAAATGGGTCAAATCTTGAAAACTAAGCTGTCACGCAGCTCAAGTTTGATACCCAATAAAAAAAAGTGAATCAAAATTACCACTTTTCAATTTTCTCAAAAGTCTAAACTTTTATGGAACCTTCAAAACTTTCCTTAAGTTATTCGAACTGTCCTAAAGACCTTTGACCTTCAATGAAGTTATCTAGACTTCCTTGAATTTATCAGACATTTTTTAAAGATCACGCAAATTTCCTGAAGTTAATGAAATGCCTTGGATCTCTTTTATCTACCCTGAAGCTCCCGAAATTTATCTGAAGTTTTCAATACTTCTTTGAAATCATGGAACTTACTTCAAAAACTCTAAACTTTCGAGGGCTTCTCTGGACTTGCGTAATATTTTCGTTTCTTATTTATTTGGAAGGAAAAGTCCACACAAGTGAGCGCAAAATCTCATCATTTCAGTACCAACAGATAACATGGAATCCTACAGATACATTTGCTTGACCGGGAAGCTGCTTAAAATCGAGTTTGACGTATGTTTCGTCATCAATCAAAGAGCAGCCCTTGTGTTTCGTCAAAACACGGTCGTACAAGAGCCTTGCACGCTTTTTGGCTACGGAATTCTACTTCATGTGTCGGTTCGGATGTTTACTAGCTTTGTACGACTTGTATCCTTCCATGGCAAGGATTTTTTTTGTTATGTTAATTTATTTGTACAGGCTCAATCGAATAAACTTTGCAGAGCCGAGTTATCATTTGCATTATACATGATTAAAGTCTTAAATCTAGAGTTAAAGGAATTGAACCGATTACTCGCGGTCATCTCGAGGTTAGTGGAGATTTACAATTTTTTGGATGGGGAAAGGGAGAAGGAGGTTTGAAATATGATTTATAAAAAAAAATGAAAAATAAAATTATACAAATATTTAATTAATCCTAAAACATGAACTTATTTCTATTCATCTTGAAAACAAACATTAAAAAAAACTACACGCACAATACACAAACTAAACACAAGGTTAATCAAACTTACAATCTAAGGTTAGTATTCTTAAAGTAAACATATATGAGTTTCATAAACTCCAGATCGCGTCTAACCAAAATATCCCGAACTGGAACATTAGGTTGTCTACCTCGAGTCCGAAGGGAATCGCACAGCTCAGATCTGACTCCACGATGCTCAGCACAAGACCAAAGGATGTGATCGGCGTCTTGGTAACCTTGTCCACATTCACAGAGATTGCTGTCTCCCAGCCCAACACGAAATAAGTGAGCGTTTAACTCATGGCAAGGATGTTTCGCACCGTTTGAAAGTTGGCATTGTACTTTCTGCCCACATCTCGGATCGAAAGACCGGGGTTGGCTTTAACGCACCTAAACATCTTGCTGCACAGCTGACAATTCCTGGTTCCAGTTTTTTCGTAGGTCCGCTGATTCCTTTCCACACACAGGATTTCCTTGTAGGTTTGGAGCGAAATTGGTGAACAGCGTTTTGATATCCTAGGATCTTCCAATAACAGAGCAATCACTCTAGTCTAACTCGTCAATTATACTATCTTGGTTGTGATTTGATAGCGAACAATACCATAATTTTTGGCATTCAGAGCTAGACATATCTAGTTTCAACACCTTAACACCGTAGTTTAGATTGAACGACCAAAACTCACGTACAAATTGCCAGAATTTTGATAAATCCCTAGTATCACATTGCCGTCATGAAAAGTTCCAGCAACCTTTATATTCTAGAAGAAGCCTGTCGCTACGCTTGTATTACTGATGATAGTCATCCTGAAAAGCTTCGCACTAATTACGGAGCGTTATCCTCGAAAAAAAAAATGCAACAACTCTTTTGCCGACGAAACCTCATCATACATTTTTATCGCGAATACAAACTAGCAGCACTGCCACCCACATGCAACCGACGTTCAGCGAAAGCACTCGCTCGCATATGTTATATGCAGCGCTCACGATTACCCGCCACAAAGTCTGTTGTTTACCAGCACAAAACAACGATAGTGTAGTTGGTACTCGCGCACACAACCAACCGATCAACCGACCCCATCGCGCCCGACCGACAGGAACTACAGAGGAAGAAAACATCATAGCTGAGGGAAATTTATTTCTCAGCTCATTCAGTTTCGATTCGGACTCGACCGCGTGCGTTTTGGTTTTTCGCCCTCTCCAGCTAACACCAACGGTCGATCACACGCGGCTAACGGCTTAAGCGACGAGCCACGTTCCGCCCCCGACTAGCCACCCACTGGCCGCCCCTTGGGAGTTTAGTTTCTTCCTCTTCTGCTTGCTGCTGGCGGTGCTGTTTGTTTGCGGATTTTCCTCTGAGACTTGCACGCTCTGTTGTCGGGTGGAAAGCCAGCCTGGCGAGCTTTCAGTTCGCGGTCGCCCGTTCAGCAGTTTGGTAGTGTGCGAGAAATACGGGGAGATTTCAAACCTGTACACACGTGGTGCCTTAGGGAAGAATTTTGGTGGTGTTTTGTCGGAGTGCATGGAGTGTGAATCAGGTGAAAATTCGAATTTGACGGCTTGTGGCGGGAAAATTAAGATTAGTGGTGATAAAAAGGCCTCGCAATGAAGCGTGCAAATGGAATGAATGTGAACAAGTTGGGCCCAGCAAACGGAAATATCGATGGATAAGCCAATGATTGGATTAAATTAGGAATTAAGTGCGTGCGTCAAGTATTAGCTGTCATCGTTTGCCGCCGATAACCAGGCAAAAAGGCTAATTAATACCAAATAAATATAAAAACGGAATATGCATACATAGGTGCTTAGATCGACGACTGTCGATTATCCAATGAACCGTTGTTGATTGGAATGGATTAATTGTAAGTGGTCTGAACTGCGAGCTGCGGAGTGTGGGAACATGTGGACCGACCAGTGCAATGTGGCGCTTATTTCGTGTGTTTTAGTGACGATGTGAATCGGCGATCGAATGAAGGGTGGAGAAGTTCTCAATAATTTACATCAGCGTTCGGCATGCTGTAATTTAGAGAAGATTACACGTTACGTTTGATGTTGGCGTGATAACGCACATTGTTTCGCACGCAATCATCGGCGATCTGTGCTGATATTCTTAGAAGACTGTGTTTTAGTGTGGAACTTTTGTGGTAGGATATCAAGCAGAACATAAATGGTCGATTTAAGAAAATTAACAACTAGACATCAACAGTTCTTTAAAATAATTATTATGTTAACTTTGGTGGATTAATTAACTTTCTATTATTTTTTCTTGATGATGAGCGTTGAATCATAGATTGAAATGACAAATTGTGATGTTACTGATATGATTGCTAAAATGGGTTTACTAATATACATGATTGAATGCTTGTAACAATTATAGCAATGGATATCATTTTTCCAAAGGCAACCAGATCGCCTGATTTATTTAGTCAGAGTACAACATTTGGTCAGAATCAATAATTAAATTATTAAATGCTATGTAAGGCTGCTATGTAAAATTATGCCTATTCTCCTTACTTGTTGTGGGACTAAGCTTCCGATTATAGTGCAATGCAATTGTATGGTAAATGTGGAGCTGGTTACTCACTGATTTTTCATATAATTGTAATTTTCGAATGTAGACACAATTCAGTTTCATCTCTCTAATTAAAAGTGGGCAATAGATAAACTTGTCAGCTACCAGCTTGCCATTAAAAATTGAATTACTTAATTTTACAGATATTGGCTCTTCAGTTTAACGGTGGATCAAAACACTACGATGTTATATTTTCAACTTTTCGGTCTTTAGGCTTGACCTTCTTCAGGGGATATAAAGTTGACCATCTTGCGTTCAGCTCAAATATCTTCACGATATTCAATCGAAGTGTGGTGGAATTTCGTACGTGAAGTTTACGATTTTCAGAGTGGTAATTCTAGATTATATAAACATAAAGCTTTAGTGCGATAATTTATTAGCTAGAGATAGTGTTCCGTTAGAGTACAGCAGTGTGAAAACTGAAGAGAAGTAAAAATTGAGCGATGGGCCATTAATGCGACAATACTAATCGTTTAGTAATACTAATTATGTGGTAAAAACCCGAATTTATCCACCTATGGTGTGATCAGACCCTTCTTACTTATTCAAGTTTATTTATTTTATTGTCATTATCAGTGACCAAGCCCCCCCCCCCCGTGTCATCCAGTGACGCTACGCCACTGCCTGGGGGTACCCGGAATATATTCGGGTGTAGTCTATTTGGTGAGGCTACCAATCACCTTATCATCGTATTTTAATGTGATTTAATGGGTTTTAATTCAATTCATATTCAAGCAACTTCCCCGGGGTACCCGGAACATGTTCAAGTGTGTCCAATGTGGTCTGGAACACTTAACACGACTTTCATTGATCTTATTTTTGAATTCTGTAGTAATTTGATGTGTCGCATGATGGTTTTGATACGTTTTCCGTTAAATCCAGCGTGAAGGCCCATATTCACCGGATCTTATTCCGGCCATATCTCCGGAACCGGTTCACCGATTCCAAAACCGTTCAATAGCGTTCAATTGGACCCCAAAACCTATCATTTGGCGCCAAGTTTGTCCAAATCGGTTGAGCGGTTGCTGAGAAACGTGAGCGCATTCATTTCGTTACATACACACACACATACACACATACATACGTACACACACACACACACAGACATGTTCCGATCTCGTCGAGCTGAGTCGAATGGTATATGACACTAGGCCCTCCGGGCCTCGGATCGATAGTCGGTTTTTCAAGTGATATCTATACCCTTCTTTGTAAGAAGGGTAAAAACGTTGCTAGAACCATTTCACAGCCGTAGACAGCATGCTTGGCATATACAGTTTTGGTCACGGCTAATAACTTTGCACACAGTTGACGAAACATAGTTCTTTTTGAAGCAGTGGATAAAATAGAGTTTAAGCTTGTTATAGATACGTAAAAAAAGTAGATTTTAATTACAGTAATAAAATGTATTTGTATTTGCGTAGTAAAAATGAAGTAAGAAATACTCGCTGCACATCTCGGACTTTAAGTGTAAACACTCATTGGTGTTGATTCAAATGTTAAGATTTACCTACCCTTACTAATCTACATAGCTTACATAGCTATACTAAGCTATGATTTTAATCTATCAATTACTTTAAAGAAAAACCGAATTTCAACAACTGACTGAAAAGTTATTAACAAATGAGCAGTTAGTGTGTACAACTGTGCATGCCCAGCATGGGAGACAGTAAAACAAACATGTGAGCGTTTACACTATTTTGCCTGTGGATTTGAGAACATCAATGTATGAGCTGGGTAAAGAAGTGTGTGTTTGATTAGTATTGTCTAATTAATGACCCTTCGCTCAATTTCAGCTTCTGTTCAATTTTCACACTACCGTACTTTGTTCCGCTCAATCTATCATCTTCAGAACTTTCTCTAGCTAATAAATTATCGCACTAAAACTTCATCTTGATATAAGCATGGCATTTCCTCTCAACTCTGATCTTTACGATCTTAAACTTAACTATCCCTGATAAGAGACGAAAGGTAGACAGTCTCTCTAATAAAGAAAAATAATTAACTATGTAGATCTGTTATTTTTTTTTATTATTATTTCGAAGCTTCCCTGAGGTTAGTAGTAATTGGGTCACCACTCTGAAATTCAATAATATTATCTAGAATTCCATGCATTTCGAATAACTTTTTAAATGTTCCCGTAATTTTCCCGAAGATAATTGAACTGTCCGGAAGTTCTTTGATCTTTTTTAAAGCTTGCTGAGGTTTTTGAATATTCCCTGAGTTTCTTGGAACTTCTTTAAAGTTCCTGTAATTTCCTTGAAGTTAATTGAACTACTCTGAGGTTCCCACATGTTCTCGAAGCCACCATGAAGCTCTCACATTTCTTCTGAAGTGCTGCCCAGAAATTAATGAAACTGTCACAAAAATCGTAAATTTTTTATCAAAATTTCTGGACTTCTGTGAATTTCCCAAAATATGTCAAAAGATTTTCAATACTTTCAAGAGGTCTCTGGACTTCCCTGAAATTCGTGGAACATCTTAAAGTTTCTCAAATTTTGCTGACGTTCATGGTGCACAGGGGCGATTCGCTAGTGTATTGTCGATTCAGGCCAATGTATTGATGAACGTGTTAAAGTATTTTTATCGAATAAACGTGTATATTGTGTAATAATGCATTATTTTCTCTTTTTGAGTAAATGTAATTTTTCGTGTATTAGAAAAATAAAAGTGTATTTTTATGCATGAATGTATTGAAAACCAGTTATAAGTGTATTCTGTCAAATCAGTGTTTATGTTTACCACTCGAGCCTGAGCAGCCCAAGGCTGAAAGCCTCCTTAATAAAGCTAAATAATAATAATACCACTCGAGCCCTAAGAGGAAGAGGAGACAATAGGGGGGCTTTTTTGAACCAATTTTCTGTCAAACGCGAACCAGTGTCTGATTGGTCGGGTGAACGTATAGAAACGTGAGAATTTTTACAAAAGGGAATCAATTTTCTTGAATTTCGACAGTCGACTGCGTCGCTCATAATGAAATAATTTTTGCACGTTCGTTTACGCGAGATAGGAAGAACATATCACTCGTCACATACAAAAGGAAGCCAGTTGTCTCCTGTTCCATTTAGCTCGAACCGAGGATCAAACGGATAAAACTGACAATGTTGCCATTTTTTATGTTGGTTGACGTTTTGTTTGACAAATGCCCAATACACGCTAACTTTAAAATTCCCAGTAGTGAGTAGAATTTCACCCATTTTGAAGAATAAAGGCTTAACTCATTAACTCATTATCTCGCTCAATACGCATTAATAAGCATCTGTTAAGAAATCTGTTACTCATTAATGAATAACTGTTACACCTATTTTTGAGGAACTTTTCTTAAAAATAGGTGAAATTCTACGCCTTAATTTATTGTATTCGACCTCGGTTTAAAATACAAAATAATAATTTTACGCATTTAGTTCGAATTCAGCATTTTGATTGTACATTATATTTTGTACATTGTATTTTTATTATTCGTCGAATATTTGTGTATTTTTCAGGATTCTGTATTTTTGTGTAATGACGAGTAATGATGAATTTTTGAGTATTTTTTTTTCATTCACGTATTTTCGATTCATCACTCGAGAGCAGTGAATTGCCCCTCGCATGGTGCTGTCCTGAATTTATGGAAACAAGCTTTCGCAGAACTCTAAATTACCCGAAAGTCTGGATATTCCTGAAGTTACATGATTCCATTCGATCTCTGACCTAGCTTCCCTGAGGTTGCTAAAACTTCTTTTAAGTTTCCACAATTTTTCTCAAGTTCTCTGAACTCGTCAGTTTTCTTGACTTTCCTTAAGTTCTCTATATCCCTAAAGATCCAGCGCTGTTCTAGACGCTCGCCCATTACTCCACTAATCTGACCAAAAAAAACGGGCAGGACAGTACACCTGAGTAGCTACGCAGCAATAGAGCAATTTTCCAAGGTATAAACCTTGGATTGAATTAAAAAAATAGTGTCCAAAACATTAAAAAATTTATATT